GTAAGGGGAAGGTAGGACGATAACAACTAGATTACTACGTACGTACCCACCCCCAACCCTAACGTTAGGGTAGTAAGGACGTACAATAGACGAGTAGTAGATAATAATATATATATATATATATATATATATATATATATATATACACACACACACACACACACACATAAACTTGATTTACCAGAATCATGGAGTGTATTATAAGAAAATTATGCGCTTTTACTCAGGAAACAAACACCAAACCACAACTAAGCTACTGCAAAAATGAAATATACCATGGACAGTTAACTGTCACATCCTTCGTAACATTCAATATAAGAACGAGGTGAAGGGTTTCCCACACAGCAGAAACATTCCGCTCCAAAAGAATTGAATCCCATTAAGCACCACTTTTGCCTTTGTCAAAACCAGCTGCCCATGAGATCCACAGAATACCTTTGCAAGTCAAGTTTCCACTCCCCATTGGGGCAAGAACCTGAGGTTCCAGGCCTCAAACTAGAGAAGTCTCTGACCATCTCCAATTATACCTCTAAGACAACATTCATGAATACCATTGCATTAAAGAGCAAGCTCTTTTTCATTCCCCAAAATTGACTTTCACCTACCAACGATGAGATTCCGACTACAACAATTAAAATCCTAAAGATCCCATTCCGCATGACCCTATAGTTATGCCTCCAATTACCACTCTAATTAACATGACCCATGTCGGCTTGAAAGAGACCCTAAGAAGTCTCAAGACAGCAAAAGCATATCACCTATCAATCTATATGGCCCGTATCCCGTAGTTTAAGCTTTAGACTATATAGTCAAAAAAAAAAAAAGGTGACTTTCACCTACCGACAATGAGATTGTGACTACCACAACTAAAACTCGAAGGATCCCATTTCGCATGATACCACTCTAATTAAAATGACCATGTCAGCCTGAAAGAGCCCCTAAGCAGTCTCACAACAACAAAAGAATATCACCTATCAGTCTACATGGCCTGCATCCTGTAGTCTAAGCTTTAAACTACATAGTTAAAAAAAAAGGAAAAACACATCAATATACCCAAATCTCTTAAGCCCCTGCCAAGCTCTTCCTAAGGACCTTCGTTGAGTGCAAAAGCCCATCATGCACCGATGAGGCACCACATCCTCATAAAATAAGAGGTAGACTCAATTTTTATAAAAGCAAATCAATTATCTTTTAGAAGCAAATAAATTTTGACTAGGGAATACATAATTTGGGATATTCAAAAGAAGACAACCAAAGCACTCACAACACTTTAAGATATAGCACTTAATAGATTTTGGCAAGTACTTTGTCAAGAGGCACCGAAGCCACTGAGTCATGAACAAGTTTTGACTTGGCAATTATGCGATCAGCTAACTTGAGAATTTCAGAAGCAGAAAGGTTGACTTGAAGAATAAACCCGTGGAGACCTGCAATACCATAATGAGGCACAAAAGACGCATGTAAGCACATAAATGTGAAATTGTAAATCATATGACTTCATTGGTTTCAATGATGAAGAGCATCTATCTACAAAAATCCCAAAGTCATTCGTAGATATCTAAAATAGAAAGCATCTATCCTCCAAACAAGGGGCCGCATGAGAAGTGACCAGATTTTGGATGAAGCTAAAATTCCAGTGCATCAAACGGCGGTCCACCTCGGCACCCAGCCAGCGCTTCGTTGGAAGGGGGGGGGGGGCAAGGGCATAGGTGCCTCCCCTAGAACAAGGTGGGCACCTTGCACATTAGCTAAGGTGGCCCCCACCTCGCCAACCCATGGACCTAGGTTAGAAATTGCCCCTGGGCAATGGGGAAACATGCCTTTCCCACCTTCACCCCCAAGGGGGGCTGGCGTGGGAATTTCATACCTCCCTCAAAAGCTTTCTTACAGGAATTTTTGAGGAGAAAAAAAAAATTAGATTTTCGGAACTGTTTTGTGATTGAAAAATCCAAGAAATTTGAGAGATCTCCTCAAATCCAGTTTTTTTGGATAGGATTGTTTTCAACTGTCAAGAGAGATTACAAGAGGAACTTCGAGTGATTTAAAGCTCGATTTTTACCCAAAACACTGACGATGGAAGACCCGGCAGCAAAGGTTAGTCAAATTGTTCTATATTTGAAATCTGTCATTCTTCCAATGTCTTATTCAGGTCCTCGTAGGATTGGAGATCCAGAGAGGAAATATGGTTTTTCTCAAAAAAAAATGGTTGAAATAATGTACATTGCAATTATTATGATCAAGATACAAATTAGCTTTTTTTTTTTTTGGTGGGGGGTTGTGAAATAATAGATTCAAAAACACCTTAAAGGTAATAGGGAGCATCTTGCCCAAATTAAGAATGTTCTGCAAATATTAGAAAGGATATGCCAGAAAAAAGAACAAGGCAGCAAGGGAACCAAGCATCGCAAAGCGGAATAGGGCTGTAGTGACAGTCACAACCTTACCCTTAGCATTATGACGAAGTTCAGGAGAAGAGGGACACATTGCCAAGGGTCACAACTCACAAGATTTTCCATCTCCTTCCAAACTCAACGTAGCATAATGGATAAGAGAAAGCAATTGAAGTCTATGCTCCCCTCAAAGGATTGATCTAGAAGCAAGTTGTCCAATAACACTTAAGGGAAAAGGATATATGTCTAAACGATAATTTTTGTAAAAGTCTTTTTGGAATGGGAGCAATGTATGCATACAAGGTATTCTTAACCTTGATCCAAGTTTTGCACATAGGAGGTAGTAAGGTGAAGCCCACTTGTGGGCCTTATATACGACGTAATAGAAAGAGCAAGGCATTGGGAAATGATGAGAGCATGTACAGCCCAGTATGGGCGATGGTAGAGGAAAAGCGGTATAAGAAACTTTATTGGCCTTGCATGCAACTGGCTATCATTTGAACCTAAAATTCTCTCATGCAGAATTGGATGATGAGATGAATGGTAAATTATGGATAGTTCAACAAATGTCATGAGTCTCATTCCAGATAAGGATATCGAGGATAAGATATACAATGAAGAGTTGATCTTATACAAGTGTGCATTATGATCATTTGGGACAGCAATAAGACAAAGGATTAAATCCTTCTTTCAACTTGCATAGTTTCTTATGTTGTATAGTTTATGCTCCAATTTTATTAGTTACAACTTGCAAACTTATAAATTATAATTTTAAATTAAACAACGTAATTGCAAGCCAATGGTGGAGCCAAAATGAGAGTAGGGCCCCAACTAGCAAAAGATGGCCATCCACGTATTAAACTTGACATGCAGCTCATCTAGTTGTGAGCGCATTTGGAGTACATTTGAGATGGTAAGAGTCAATAATTGCAAAGATTATAATAATTCATATTATGAAGAATCACTAAATTTTAATTTACATTATACAATACTCAATGATTCCCAAAAAGGAAAAAAAGAAAATAACATAACAAATACATACATAAATAATCAATAAATTATAATTATAACTTATAAATGGAAAATTCATAAACTATGATTATAACTTCTAAATTATAGCTTTACAAGTTCATGCAACACATGATTTAATTATGAGTTTACCTAATTATATAACTCTATCCCACGATTACTCTAGTTCTAGTCTAGCTCATGCATTTTCTCACAAGAGTATACAAAGAAAAGGAAATAGGCTTGAGCAAAAGAACCTTAGTAATTTATCCATGACAAGAGGGATCCCATTGTTATGAAAAACTTATATGATGCCAGTATGTGGTTGGTTGATCCTAGAATAGAATTGTAGAAGAAGTCTTCAGTTTTGACCTAGGAAACGGTTGAGAGGGTTTCGAGACGACCTTCTGACCCTAGAAGGACCACTAGGTCGACTACTATGCCTGGTACACAGACAAGGAGGAGGAGGGGAAGGAAAATGAGGCTAATTCAGAAGACGCTACAGAGGGCCATTATATTATATTAAGGAGGGTGATGACTCTAATGATAATATCTTGGAATCAAATGGAGGTGTTGAGGTTAATGCCAATTACAAAGAAGATAAAGACTAAACATGACAATGCACTTAATGTCATTTTGTTTATTATTTCATTTATATCATTTTCTCTATATTATGGAATGTTGAGATGTTCTTAACTGCTGCTGTAGTTAAGTATTTCGAGTATGTGGTCTTGGACGTGGAGCCATGAACCACAATATTCAGCCATATGCCACTGAGTTATGGAACTTGGCCGTGCTATTTTCTTTTACTCCTTTTGGTTATTAATTTGTTGCATCTCATATTTACTGATTTAAACTTGTGAGATGCGATTCAACATTAACTTAGTTTCAAGTTTCAGAATCTTTTTTTTTTTCAAATTTGCAATGTTCAAGATTCATTTTAATCTTTTGATTCTACATTAAATGTCTGTATATGAGTGTGTTTTTAGCACAGTTTCATTGTTCATTCCTTCGTCGACAACACGCACGCACTCACGCGCACATGCACATGCGCGTGCGCACACAAACGTGTGTCTGTATCTTTATCAGGCACCTTGAAACCAAGGCACCTGCCCCCCAGCAGCTGCCTAGCGCATTCCTAAACATTGCCAAACTTTAACTTTCAGTTTCTAGATTTACAAAATAGTAGTAGATATAGTTTCTGAGTACACTATATAGTGTAGCATTAATGGTGTCAGTTTTTAGTCCAAGGCAGTGTTTCAAAACATGGCTTGGGCAGCAAAGTTGGCACCTGCCCAAGCTGAGTGATGGATGAATAAGCTCACACTCGCCCGAGCCATGTCCGAGCCATTAAAAAGATGAAATATAAGACAGAGAACACAAAAAAATGGAAAATAGACTAATTAATTAAATATGAAAGTACATACACATGGATTTGCATGTGGAATTACTTATTAATTAAATAATAATAAAATAGACTAAAAATTACATACACTCATGTCTAGTCTTAGACATGTATCCAAAATGCTGAGTTGGACACGTGTCCGTAAGTTTTGGGCACGCGTCTTATCAAGACAAGTTGTGTCATGTTTCTAAATCAAGAATTTCAAGGCACATCTGGGTACACGGCGCAAAAGTATCCAATGGAATGTCTGATGTGTCAACATGCACATCTGTGTCAAAGTCAAGCCTATGACATCATTCCCGACATGCATATCATTGTTATGCGGGAAAGGTTAGAAAGCTAGAAATGATATCCAACTATGGTTTTGGACTAAAAAATTATGTGCAGACTGCTGAGCAGACATTAGAGTCATTTCAATAAATTTGCAAAACAATTAGACATGAGCAGTGGAACATTTTTTTTTTTATCGCGTGCAAAGTGAAATGGCTGCCCCCTCTGAGAAGAGATCATTGTAAAACAGTAGCATTGATGAGGGTCCATTGGGGAGTTTCTAGGTTATGTATTTTATCCAGCTTTATCCATTGATTCGCACCAGAGCATGATATTCAAGGGTTGGAATAATCAAGGAGGTTCGTCCCATTTGATCCATGCTCTATTTGAAATCCATTTGCAACCCTATTAACTAAGATTTTTCTTCGGATTCAATACTCAGGCAATTGGTAGAAAAATACATTCAGCATTTTCATCGCCAGACAACAAAAAAGGATTCACCTTCATCAAATGTATGAAGCTATAATGTGTTTGGACCCCTAATTTCGCATGTCACGTCTCAGGATGGTGTCCACAACTCAAACAATAGATGATCAAAATAATCTATCAACAAAAACTGTTGATCTCACACGACCATGCAATCTTCCTAAAAATCAGGCCATTAATCTGCAAATATATCCAACATTTTCAAAGACAAATATGACATATCATTCGGTTGCTTTGAATTATGCAGTAAAAATGAGTTTGCGGCCCTGATTTCTGCTCCTTCAACAGTAAATGTACTCAACAAGCGAAGCAATATCATCAAATAAAATGAAAGGTACCTCTACAGATTATACAGAGCCACTGGTGAACAAAGCAAACAAATTTGAGAGCAATTCCTGACATATATGCATCCAAGTGTCAAGCAAAACTTACGTTTCCTCTTGTGACCCTTTAGGGCAACCAAGAAACCAAGAGCCACTGCCAAAATGGTAGAGGCTCCAGTAATGGCAATTATCTTATTCCTCTCTGCCTTTTTTGCCATGGTCACGAGCTTAGCTCGAGCTGAAAACTAGGGCAAAAGAAAAGTGGGCTTTCAAGTGAAGTCAGCTGGGCGTATTTATGGTGAGGAGTTACAGACACAACAAAAACGAGCGGGAAAAATAAAGCGACGATACCGGTTTCTATGCGGCCAAGCCCGCAAATGCGGGCCTGTTGATAAAACTATGTTTGAGATAGATTTTAAGACTTGAGTTTTAAGGACATGTAATCTAAAGATCATAAATATGGCAAAATAAATAAATTTTGAAAAATTAAAAATAATAATTTTAGTAAAAAAACATTTTGATCATTAGTGTCTATTGTTCTTAGATTGGATTATTTACACTTTCTGAACTGCGTGTGTACGCTCATGTCGGTAAAAATCATGTTTTAGGTGCTCCGGTTGGATTTAGCGGATGGTCTTGTGCATCACCCTAAATCCCACCATTTTTTATTTTTTTTTATTTTTTTGAAACCAATCTTTCACCAATTCAACTGGCGGGATCACTGATCCAATTGATTCACACTGATTTTTTAGTTTTAAAATACTCAAAAGTATAAAATCTATTTTGGATAGCCAGGTCAAAGCAATTGGGAGGTGACAATCTATTTTGTTTTCTGAAAATACTTATTTGATGATATAAAGTGGATCCCAAAATTTCAAATTTGTGAAAGTCTTGTACTCGAGGGAATAAATATACAGCGTGCTCCCGTAGCCACAATAACATGTCATGTGTCCTTTCAAGGGAAAGCCCATCAAAATTTACTAGAGGTAATAAATAATGTTATACGATAACGACTTTAACCACCTAACACGCACAAAAAGTGGTGGCAAGTCAAAATTGGAAGATAATCCACCAAATGAAGCAGTTGAGGGAAATATTTGGTCTGATCTTCAGTGCCTTAATGGTGTTTCTTCCAACCAAATGCATATTGGCTCCACAAAGAATATCGTGAAAATAAAATCTCAAAAAAAAAAACAACAAAGTTTTTATGAACTAGAGGAGTATAAGTCGTCCAGGTGGTGAGATTTGGCCCATAAAAAAAAATTGTATCATTTTCTAAGAAAAAACAAAAAAGGGTAGGTGTTTGCAGTATGATGAGATAGTCTGCAAATTTTGGAGTTTAACAAATCCCTTTAAGGCTTCAATCGGGTGATAATTTTATCTTTTGGTTTTTTGGGTAATTCAGTGGGACAGACATACCCTCACTCATTTTTTCAAATAATTTGAAAGTTAGATTTTTGAAGGTGTTGATGTTAGTAAGAATGAAAAACACATCATGGGAACTAAGGCGTAGAGGTGCTACCACCATGACCCAATAATATTTTTTTCTTTCCTAAAACAGGGCAACCATCCATTGCATTCTCCTGAGAAAACTATTTTCTCATTTTTCAAGAACTATTGCAAATATGAGCATGCCATAACTCAAAAAAAACATAAATTTGAACCTAAAAAAAGAGGTTAAACCACTGGCAAATAGCAAATTCATTGGAAATTCACTAGTCAATATGGAAAACTTTTGTACCCTTCTCGATATTTTAATTTTCAACCTGGATCATCATCAATGGCCTTAAATTTATGCATTGGCCTTTTCATTTACACTCCTAGCAAATCCACATTATGCATCTGTGAAAATTAGGTGAGACTCATAGACCTGTCAGTTTTTAGTTGGTCAAGTAAACAAAGTAGTAGTTGGATACATGGTGTGTACTTGCTATTTGTGAGATGCAGACTACTAATGTTATTTAAATAGGTGGTCCACTTTCATCTTAACAAGTGTTAAGAGGCAACTAACTGAATTAGCTTCAAATAAAGCAGTCAATGAAGTTTCATATTTACCTTGGAAATTATATCAACAACTGAATTGGATATAAGAACTCTTTTTCCCTTTAAGAGTTCACTTGAGATCTGGTGAAGATGAATTATTCAGCATTTTATCTTTTTGCAACTATTCTAACTCATAATCATATATTTTTTGATCTTTTTGCAACTATTCTAACTCATAATCATATATTTCTTGATGAATATTTTAAAATTAAACTAAAAATTATATCTGAAATGTTAAATAGTTCACCTCTCATAGACATCATGATGAAATTCCCAATGTATAAAAGAAGAAAAAATTGCAAAAATTATCTAAAACGCTTAGTGGAGAACTAAAGCTTCAATACACCACACACCTCGGAACAAATTCGAGGTGCTTGAAAGGAAAAAAGAGCAAGATTTTGCCAGTTACTACATTGATTAACATTGGAAACAAAATTGTGCCAATTACGACGTTGATTAACATTATATTGTTAGTATTCAGTATGTTGCCGTACTATTTGCATAATTACTAAATATTAATTGAGTCCTTATTATGATTGAGCCAACATTAAATTATGCTAACCATGAAATATAATGCTTTTCTTTTAATCTATCAGGTTCCAGAGGTGCATGCTGCACAAAAATCACAAGATTCTAGTTCAACGCCCAGGGTATCGACGTGACCTACGTCCAGGTTTTTCTACAATGGTTGAAAATCTGCTTTATTTATAATTATGAAATTTAATGCACTACAAAATGGTCTTGATCATGCAGATATATAAACACTTTAAAATATTTAATGTTTTTCACCATGCTCTATTTGTAAGGCTTGAAATGTGGGTATCTTAATAAATCCATTTTTGAGATGGATTTTGAGACTTAATTCTTAGAGGCAAGTAATCTCTGATATGGAGATCATGAATATGAAAAAAAAAAAAATTGAAACTATAAATAATAATTCTAGTAAGAAAGCACTTGGACTGTTAGTTTCTATTATTTCTAGATGAAACACCTAGTTACATCCATCTTTAAGATGGATGCTTTACACTTTCTTGATCGCCTGTGTAGAAATGAAGTCCAGCCCGCATTAAACAGTTTTTTTTTTTATTATCCATCCATACACCTCGAAAGTCGATATGATCAATTGAAAGGTTTTCTAGCATAGGAACAACCTTTTATAATGATTTTTTAAGGTGTGCCTTAAGTTTATAATATATGGTTGACATCTTCTATACTTACTACTCTCCCAAATATACAGGTTCATATTAGAGAAATTTACACATATATCCCCATTTTTTTGTTATACCAAAAATACCTCCTAGCTTTATTTTTTATTTATGTATCCCTTTTCTCCCCCCTCTCTCACTCTCCCCCAACCCTCAAAAAAAAAAAAAAAAACCTAATTCAACACTTTCAATATTCTAAGTCACCATTTTCGCCATAATCTTTTTATTCATTTATTTTTCAGAATTGCATCACTTCATACTTTTAATATCGATTTTGGACCTTAAAGATCCAAATTGGTGGCACTTGGAATAAAAACAAAAGCTTAATATTTTATTTTATTTTTGGGTGTTGTGACGTTTTGTTCTATTGACAAGTCATTGCTTTCTAGTTAAAATATATATTTCACAAAATCACCATGATATTTTGAAAAGCAAGTGTCCTATGACTTTTAATAGTGACAATTATAAACATAGATTCGTTCAATGATCAATCAACTCGTTATGAATGATTATCGTTACCGTCGTAGCCTTTTACCAACTATTTGAAGTCGGCTATATAAATATTGATATGTCACTCTGCTCTATCAAGGGTCATACCTTCAGTGAGGATGGTAAAAAATCACATATTTAATAAATGCATCATTCAAACCCCATTGTAAATTTTATATTTTGATTTGTTGTTTAAGTTATACTATCGATGCACATTTATCACAAATATTATTTTGGTTATTTTATTTTTTTTATCGTACAATTTGCATTTATTAGGTTTTGTCATAATAAAAAATGGGCACACCTTTCCTATGAAAATAGTATATAAAAGACAAATAAAATAAATATTGTGGCAGGCCTTCTATGTCACATGATCAAGATTGGAAAGTAGGGTTGTAGAGAGCAAACTAAAGTTGACATCCAGTTTATCGTGCCATC